TTAATTCATGAAAGACGTTTATGTACAATGTTTCCTCAACTAAAAAAAGTAACTAACAAAGTAAAAAAAAACTTTTTTTTCACTTTTCATACACGATCAGCTCTTTCTACTCGTCATACACGATCTGCTCTTCCTACTCGTCATAGATAAAATACAAACAAATAAAAAAAAAGAATGGTTTATAAACAAAGAGATTAGCGTATTTACCATTTTAGTTGCTTTGTCTTTTGAACTCAAACTCACTTAATCCTTTATATTAAAAAGTTTAGGAAGCTGAAGCAAACTAAAGTATAGCTTTTAATAGCTAAAGTAAAGCAGACGCGTAGCTTTTAATTGGAAAACAATAGTTTCTATCGGTAAAACCACTGAAATTAGTAATATTTTCAAGAAATGACGCATGTTAATATGATTAATTAAAAAACAATTTATTAAAAACTGGAGTTGGCATGCAATAAATACTTTAAACTTTTGTTCATGTTAAAATATTGGATTATTTTTAAATACAAGTTACATGTGAGGATAACAAACATTAAAATGATGATAAAGAACTATAAAACTACAAGTAGACATATAAACACAACAATATAACTAATTAATAAGCAATAATTGCAAGCGTACAGAATTTCTAGTTTATTGTTCTACACATACTTTTCACTCAATCAGGATTAATATAATAAGGGTTAAGAACTTATTGGTCATTGGTAAAATGCGGAAAAGCAGAATGCGTAAATCGGCAAATATCTAACGGGAATAAAGTGCGAAAATAGGGTTAGGGGCTTGGAGGCCTCAACGCATACATCAAGTTGTTTAGGAAGAACGTGCAAAAGTATGCTGCTAAATCGACTGAGGGTTTGGGTTGCGGCAGCGGGGTTAAGATAAATTTTCCGCACTTTATTTCCGCATTTTATTTGTCGCATTTCCACATTTCGCGTTAAACTCCCAACCAAAATTATTTACAATTTTTAAAATGAATTGTTATTGCTTTAAATTAATTGCTCATTTGCGGTTGACAAGTAAACTGCGTAAATTTAAACTAAAACTTAGTGGGTAAAACTAAGTAAATTTAAAGTAAAACTGAGGGTGAAAAACAGTTTTTCCTTTGTAATTTTTTACCGCGTCACAGCATAATTAAAAAAACTAAAAACTAATAGCCTTTACAAAATATTGTTTAAAAAGGATGTTGATGGTAAATATCAATTTTTTTTAAAACCAGCGCCTAATTATTTTTTTTTAGCAATTAATACGCTTCTGTAATTTTGGACATATTTGTGGCATTTTAAAGCATTTTTTAGTGATGAATGTAGACGAATATAGTTGTACAATGTAGATGAATGTAGTTTTAGTAGAAATGAAAATCTAATTTTTTATTATTGTTGTTTATATGTTTTTATTTGCTGTATATTTTTGCAAAGATATTTACTTTCAAATTTAGTAATGTAATGTAAAATAAAACGTTTTATATATAAAAAACCTCTTAACCTAAAAAGCGAACTTTTCATTAATTTCCAAAAAAGTAAACAATAGAGCAAAAGACATTTAATCATTTCAGCAGTAGATCATATTTATAATGACGGATCCAGAATTGTTGATGCCAAAAACTTAAAAAAACAAAACAAAAGGTTGTCGTTAGCTTACCATTTCCCGACTGCTATCTACAGATCCAATTTTGACGACTGTTCTTATATTGTATCTTTTATAAATTATGGGGAGATGAGGGGGAAGGGGGGGGGAATTCATACCACCCTGGATCCGTAACTGCATATTTAGGATAAGCATTTTTTTATATTATTGAATAAAATTTGGCATTACTTGCCATTTTATGGATATGCTTTTAGCATTTTTAGCAATTAAAATGTGAAACTTCAGTCTGATTAGCTCAGACCGTTATCAGACGTAAAAAATTTGTTTTTTACAAATGATGCGTTAATAAAAAAGTTTTATACTGGAAGGAGGTTAAAATTCTTTTTAAATGTTTCGAAATACAGTAAAAAAAATAATTCGCTATATAAAATTCTAGAAATATTAAAGCGTGATCAACAAAATAAAGAAAACTATAGTTTACTTTATTTTGTTGAACACGCTTTAATATTTCTGGAATTTTATCTAGCAAACTTATTACCTTATTAAACATTGCAAACCAACTATGAAAGTTTTTTCCAGCATTTTTTGTTTTAGAATATTTTTCTTAAGAACTTAATTGAAAATTTGTGAAGTTGAGTTTATGAAAAAATAAAAGAACTATAGTTTTTTCATTTCAATAACAAAAGAACTATGTATACTAACAAAAACGAAGCACTATAGTTCTTTCGTTTGGTCAAAAAATCAACTCCAGAGATTTTCAAGTGAATTCTTAAGGAAAATATTCTAAAACAAAAAATGCTGGAAAAAACTTTCATAGTTGGTTCGAGCTCGATCCCCACCACGTTCCTAGAAGTACCGCGCTCAACTTGTTTCTCCGCACAGCGGCCTTGTTTATCAAGTTTCATATTTCAGAGTTAAAGAATTGAGAAAGGGTTGTAATCACTACTAAAGTAGCCTCATCGACTGTACTGGTCTTCATGACCTTGGAGAGGTGAATTCAAATAAATTCGAAATTTTTTCAAGCAGTTAAAAAAAAGTGTCTACTGTTTGAGACGTAATTGCAAAGAAGAAATATGTAGGACATGCCAGTAAGTCAAGAATAGAGGCCGCGTCGCAGACTAAACCTGCCCAGAGGATGGATGTGGGTGGGAGGTTTAAAGCATACTAGTGCGTATAAAGGGGAGGGAGAAAAAACATGGTTTTACCGCGTACGTACTTTATGGATGGCCGTTTAGACAACTTACTGAAGTAAATTGTTTTCATGCCGGTTTCATCATGCATCCTTCAAATTATAAATAATATTTTGAAAAAAAAAATCAAATTATAAATTAATTCGAGTCCGTATTTCAGTTTCACCCCCTAGTTCGATCTTCAAATATTAGCAGGGGATTAATGAATACTATAGGACACAATATTTAATGCAACTATTGATCTAAAATCAATATTAAACACGCGGCAGCGATAAGTTTAATCAAAATTTAGAACTAAACTCTAGCTCTGTATTTTAATTAGCCTTTTTGCTCCTATTCTCTAGTTTAGAGAATAGGAGATAATTGTTATTATTTATTTATCAAAATTATCATCTTGATTTTAAAGAAGTTTCTTTGATTTGATTTTTAAAGAGGTTTCTTTGCTGTCGAACTCTTTAATTAAAACCCATTTGTAACAATAATCCGTTTAATAGAGTCTTCATATTATAATATATATATATATATATATATATATATATATATATATATATATATATATATATATATATATATATATATATATATATATATATATATATATATATATATATATACTATATGACATATAGTATAGTACAGTAGTAGTACAATACTAGGCTTTATGAGATGATCTACTATTAGGCCCTCCATATATAATTCACTACAATTTATTTAGCAAGTTTTTCTAAAAAATTTGGATAATAATTTTCATTGTTATTTTAAAACTTATTTTAAAAGGGTTGACACTAATTCTCCAACAGAGCTGTTTAAAACGGAATGATCACATTCCATTAAAGTTAAAAAAAGATCAAAGAAATAAACAAACACAAAATATAGAACTGATGCATTAATTAAAAAAATTAAAAAATTCTACTGAGTTAGCTGCATTAAAGTAATCAACAATATTACTTTGTTTGATATTAAGTTTTTAATGCAGTTTTTTAGTTATACTTAATTTATATAACCATGTGTTAATTAGAAATTTCTTCGATTTACATAAAAGTGTAAATTAGTGTTGCAATGAAAGCTAGCACTTTTTTCTTTTTGTGTAACCTGAGTCATTATTTTTCCCTGCAGATACTATAGCTCTGGGGACAATAGTTAAAGGTTATTTGGTATCTACAAATTCACCAGGAGAAAAACAATATCAGGTTTCATGAAGCAATGGAGTAATAAGTTGAGAGTATGTAGCAGGCAATATTTTTCTCAGGGATTCTTCTTTTACCAAAATTTTTTAATGAAATCTGGTTTTCAGGTGTTCAAGGCAAATTACATAATTTGCAGATGTAGCCTTAAACACTTTTTAAAATTGGTTGTTAACAATAAAAAACTAATTACAATTTGTAATTGTGTCAATGAAGTAATTGTTGGAATTTCTGCCACGATTTGGTGACAAGGATACCGACTAATTAGTTTAGTTAACCTGAGTGGAGCAGTTGTAACAATTAATTTTATTAATTAATGTTAAGTTGTTCAAAAAAATAATATTTCCGAAAAATATCTACAGCATGTTACCAATATGTGCTATATAAAATATGAATGAATTTAAAATTTTTTTGAAAATAAAAAACATTTGTAAATAATATATATATATAATATATATATATATATATATATATATATATATATATATATATATATATATATATATATATATATATATATATATATATATATATATATATATATATATATATATATATATATATATATATATATATATATATATATATATATATATATATATATATATATATATATATATATATATATATATATATATATATATATATATATATATGGGTTGGGGACAAATACGTATTTGTATTTGATAAAAATTAGCTAATTTGGCATATTTGGATTGTACTTGATTAAAAAATTTCTTAATTATTTGATTTTGCTTTTTTATTTGATTAAAGTGTATTTGCAATTCCGTTTAACTAACTTTTAACTTTTAACTTTCGTTTAACTAGGTTAACCAGTATTTTTTTTTAGAAAGTTGTTTTCTTTTTTTTTTTTAGATTTTTAACAATTTTTAAGGGATATTTTTTAGCAGACTTGTTTTCATTTTTTATTTTTAATAGACAATTTTATCAGTCTTGTCTTTGATAATCTTTCTATTTTTTCTTAACCTAAAGTACAAATATTTGCATTTGTATTTATATTTGGAAAATGCTGATTGCATATTTTTGCATTTAATATAGTTTTCAAGCAAAGTATAAATATAATGGACCCTATAGACTTTTCCATTGAAGATGTTTTAGAAAAATGGAATGTACTTCAACAAGATTGTGGTAAAAAATGTGACACTTCTAATGATTCATTGTGGTATAGGCAAAAGACATCATTTTCTGCAAATACATTACATAGAAAAAAGAGAACAAGCAATAAACAAGTTAGTAATTTAGTCAATTTATTTTAGCATATTTTTTATGAGGTTGAAATTTATTTTGAAAATTTGTGATTGCCTAAGTGTTTTTTAGCATTAAAATCTTGTTGCTATGTATATAACCACGGTTGTGTACAATGCATTGGCATTGACCTGGTAATGCATCAACCATTTAGCCGATACATTGGCATCAACATAGGTCTTGGTAATCACGGCCGCTACTAATTGTTTTTAGAACATCAGTTTTTTATATTTTTTGTATATTGTCTGCAAACATATTCCTCAAACAAAAATGCATGTATAAACCTTAGTTATTATATATGCATATCTGCAACCATTATATATGCATATCTGCGAACCTTTCAAAAAATTTTTTGAACTGTTTTTTATCAGAGGCTCTCCACTTTTTTAGTGTCTTTTTATAACTTAGAACAGCAATTATATGACTTATGGATCCAAACTATACAAAGAAGTTAAAAATCAAGAGTTGAAAATTTAAAAAAACTTTTTGTCTGATGTTCTTCCTCTTGATATTTTTATTTAGCTAAATTTACGAATTTCTTTTGAACATTTATTTTCATCTATTTTAAAATAGCCTAAGATTCGACTTTTAGTTGCTTTGCTCATGGTTGACATTGTTTCTTATTAAACTATATTTCTACATTCAATCCCTATCTGAAGTCAGTCACAATATGCCTTGATGGCTGGACTAAAAAAGGTTACAATGTCCTTTTTAGCAATATTAGTTTGTTTTTCTACAGCAAATCTGATAAAACAATACATGCTCTACTTTTTTTTGTGTGAAACATCCACATAAAGATTAACAAATTGTTGATTGTCTTTAAAAATGCTATAAGTATTAAAATATTACTAGAGAAAAAAGATTGCTTGTTATTTCAGAAGATGGAGGAAATATGGTCAAAAGCATCAAGTTAAGAATAAAAGCTTTAGCTGAATATGATATGTGAGCAGATAACTGATCCAGAAGAACATATAAATATGACAAATAGTGAAGAATGGAAAAAAGTTGACTTGATACTTAAAAATGTAGCATTTAAAAGATTTGGATGCCTTGCAAATGTTATACAGTTAGTTATACTGAAATCTATCATATATGTAAATATAAAACCAATTAAAAGTTTTTTTGTTCTAAAAATAGACAAAGAATATTTTTTTTTTTTTTTTATCATCTCAGCTTCCAACAAGGCTACAAGCAACCACTAATTAGTGTTGGAAGTTACTGGAAGAGAAAAGATAAAGATTGTAGAGCAAGATAACGATTGACAGACGACTTAAAAGATTGAAAATTATATGAATCAGGAAAGCAAGATGAAGGAAGCGAATTCTAAAGAACTGACGTTCGAGGAAAAAAACTAGACAAATAAGAGATTTTGGAGCACTTAGGAACAGTTACAGAAAAAGGATGAGACTTAATTGAATGACGAGTAACACGAGAATGAATTCTTGTAGATGGCACAAGAGACGATAGCTCCTTAGAGCAGTGCCCATTATAGTATTTGTAGAAAAGAGAAAGAGAAGCAACATTACGACGATGTGACAGAGGTTGAAGGTTGGCTGCAAGAGCAGGTTCAATTATGTTTACAATGTATTTTTGCACCTTGTCTAAAAGAGAAAGGGCATCATTAGAAGATCCACCCCAGATATGGCAACAGTATTCCATACAAAGCCGGATTTGAGATTTATAGAGATAGAGAATAGAATCCAGAGTAAGAAAGTGACAAGCTCGATAAAGAGAAGTGACTTTAGCAGATGCTAATTTTGCAACGGATTTGATATAAGGTTTCCAAGAAAGATCAGAAGTAAGAGTTAATCCTAGAAGATGAAGGGTAGGTGACTCATCGAGTACATTACCGTTCATAAATATAGGAAGGTCTAAATTATTGCGGTAACGATTGGCTGAAAAAAATTGAGTTTTATCTGAATTAAAGTTCACCAGCCATTGTGAGCCCCATGCTGTAGCAGAAGTGAGATCCTTTTCAAGCTCAGATGCCCCTTGCAAGCAATCAGAGGGAGTTGGTTTCTTATCGTGACAAGAATAAATAGTAGTATCATAAGCGAACAATGCCACCTTTGATGTGAGAAAATCTGGAAGATCGTTAATGTAAATTAAAAAGAGTATAAGGCCAAGGATTGAACCTTGAAGAACCCCTGAGGTGACAGAATAAGAAGAAGAGTGCTGTCCATCAAGGACAACTTTTATACTACGATTGGAAAGGAAGGATTCAATAATCTTAAAGATGTTTCCAGATACACCGTAAGAAGAATGCTTATGGAGAAGACCAGCATGCCAAACTTTATCAAACGCTTTAGAAATGTCAAGAGCGATGGCCTTGACCTCTCCACCTTTGTCTAATGCGCGATAAAACCTATCGGTTATTACTGTTAGCAAATCAGCCGTAGAACAAGAAGATCGAAATCCATATTGATGATCAGAAAGTAGGTTATGAGATTCGAGATGAGAGATTAAGTGTTTGTTAATTAAAGATTCAAAAACCTTGCTTATGATAGGAAGAAGACTAATGGGACAGTAGTTAGACGAATCGGATCGCTCTCCAGAATTTTTAAAAATAGAGATAACAGATGCTGCTTTCCAGCAGGCAGGAAAACAAGACTCTGATAAGCACTTGTTAAATAGTTTTGAAAGGATAGACGACAGCTCCAGAGAACACTTCTGCAAGACTATAACAGGTATGTTGTCCGGGCCGCAAGCTGTAGGAGAGTCTAAGCAGGAAATCACTTTAAATACAGAAGCTGGAGTGATACGGATGTCGAGCAGTGGATCAACCTGTTTGATGGCTATATCAGTTAGAACGCAACTAGTGGAATCCAGAGATGATATTGATGAAAAGTTCTTGACAAACAATTCAGCTTTGTCTTTAGGTGAGGTGACAAAGTCTGAACCATACAAAAGAGGTGAAATAACAGACTTACCCTTATTATTGATACTATTAAAGATTCTCCAGAAGTCACAAGAGTCTAATTTTTGTGATGAAATACGAGATTTCATGATCTGAGAATAGCGGGCTTTGGCGTTAGACAAAACCTTTTTACAATGGTTCCTAGCAGTAATAAACAGACGTCTGTTTTCTGGAGAATTGTTTTGCTGATAGATATGGAAGTATTGGTTTCGATTGGCAGTTGCAGCAGCACAATGTGAGGAAAACAATGGAGAAGAGTGAGGCTTGACCTGGAATCGTCGAGAGGGAATAAAGGATTCCATGCCAGCCTGAATCCACCAAGTTATGTAAGAAGCACATTTGTCAACAGGAAGACGAAAGATTTCTACCCAGGGGCCACCACGAAGAAAATCACGGAAAGAGTCCCAGTCAGCTTTAAGGTAGTTTAAGATGTACAATGATAGGGGGATTCTGATGGTAAAGAAGAATGAGATAATAGTTTTAGAGAGACCAAACCATGATCAGAAGCACCTAAGGGTGAGTGTGGAGAAACTGAGCACTGACTAGGATTAGAAACAAGACATGTCGAGTAGAGAAGGTAAATGATTTGGGTTGTCTGGAAAGGGAGTTGGAAAGTTGACTATTTGAGTTAGGGATTGAGAAAGGCAAAAGTTGTGGGCCTTAATGCCTGCGGAGTCACTGATACTAGAGCCAAGCCATTTAGTGTGATGAACATTAATACCGACAACAACAATATTGGCTGATGGATAAAGAATAAGGGCTTGGTCAATATAATCAGAAATAACATCAAGAAGAGTGCAGTCTTGAGATGAAGGAGAGCAATATAGAACAAAGAGAAAGGCGATAGAGTGAAGTGGTGCTAAACGAAAGCACATAAAAGAGTAGTCTGTGGATTCAAACCTAGTTTCCCGACAAATAGGTGAATTCTTACGAATGTAAATGCCTAGGCCAAGCATGCGACTATTAGAGTCTTTACAAATTAAAGGAAGATAACCATCAATACTAAGATCACAAGATGAGACAGCTGAACTCAAATTAGTCTCACAAAGAGCAAGTAGGTCTGGTGAACTTTGCAAGAGATAAGACTCAACTGAAGAAAAGTTACTTCGAAGACCAAGAATGTTTTTGAATAAAAAACAAAAAACCACAGTCATCACCAAGTTTTAGCGAACTTGGTGATGACTGTGGTTTTTTGTGTTTTATAGTTTTTGTTACTTTATTCATTTTTAAATTTGCTAAAGAATGTTTTCACAAAATCAATTTACTAAGATTTTTTTTATTAGTCGTAGGAAACAATTTAATACTTTTATGCTGACAATAAAACACAGGTTATTTTTAAAGAGTATTGAATTGTTATTGTAAAAAGCTATAAAACAACAATAAAACAAGCTACAAAGTTTTTACAATATAAGGAAATATAAAGTATACAGTGTGCGCCATAATGCTAAACTTTAACCTCAAAAAGCTTTCTTGAGACTGCCAAGCATTTGGTTGTCAGCTGATGCAGCCATGAACTTGTTTTTTAATCTTCAGACTATGAATCATAACAATGCCTAGATCTCTTTCAGATGTTGTGCATGACAGCTTGTGCACTTGGCCTGCTAAGTTATTCATTGTGTAAATTGCAATCGATTTTTTGATGTTGCTGTGCCCAGTGTGCATCATAAAACATAAGTTAATTTTGTTATCTTTAGTTTTTGTAGCACCTATTTTTTTAGGGACCCTGCTTGTGTCTAAACCTGGACTTGTATTTAAAATCAAAATCTATTTTGCTTTTAATTTTGGATTAAAAATTGTCTATTAAATCAACTGCCTTACTTGTTGATGGAAGCAATAAAATTTAACTAGTAGTATTGGACAATATTGGAGCAAATTAACAACATAGTAATATGAATAATACTACAATACTACATTTGACTACTCTTCTTCCCCCTTCCCCCTTCCACCCCCCCAACTCCCAACCTCATCAAGAAAGTTAAATGGAAGAAAATATCTTTTTTTAAATTTAATTTATTTTAAAAACTTCTTGACTTCCCCATTTTCCTTGTCAATAATTGTTAAAAATTTTCTGGACATACCTTAACTATATTTAAAATTTAATACAGTAGTATTATAAAAGAGTAGCTTTACAAAACATAATTTTTCTTATATTTTGCAGTGTTTTTTTTTTTAACATTAATGTGTGAATGGTTATAGTTAATACATAGGGTAATATACATTAATATTTATAACTTTTTGTAAATTTATAATATTTATAATATTTTTTAAAATGATATTTGGGGCTCTTAGTTGAGTAAAGGCTACAGATGGTTTCTCGATAAAAATATTCATCTTGGGCAGATATTAAATGCATTCGGCTGCTGTTTTGTAGAAGGCCTCCTAGACAAAAACTTAAGAAGTAAACAGATTTTATCTGTTGACCAGCTTTGCACACCTCCATCTATTAGGCTGGTATAAATGTATTTATAATAAATTGTTTCTTATTTAGGTTGCTAAATGCTGAATCTTCTTGACTTATTGCATGGGTTTTACTTGTGTCTCTGTTTTATGACTCTTATCTCCTAATGAGGGTACATAGCTAAAACTCTTTTTTACTGTTCTAAGGCCGGCTGCTTTCCTGAACTCTGTGGTAGCTCTCAGAGAGGCTGATTCCATCAACAGCTGTAAAATATCAGAGTACTAACAGTGTCATGTTGCGCATGGACCCTGTCCTTGTTCGTACTTTTTCTTGTGCATTTTTGAGACCACATTTGGAGTCTTTTGTAGAGGCTTAGGGTTTAATAATAGTAATAAGGCAATTGATTGAACTATTAAATAGTGTACTGAATACTATCTGTGCTTTTAGTCAAGTTTTTTAACACATTAAAAAAATGACTCAAGTATCAAAAACTATAAAACAAAAAAAACCATCATCATCACCAATTTCTCTAAGTCTATTATTCACTAATATTCGTGGTCTTTGAAGTAACTTTTCGAAGCAACTTGTAATATTATATGGTATAAAATGATGAGGTTTTATGTTAAAACATGTTTGCATCAACCATAAAATTTTTTAAAGGTTCGTAAAGCATTATTTAATATTGGTAAAAAGAAAAAGCAATTTTTCATGAAACAAAGTAATTAATTAAAAATTTAAGCTATTTAGAGAGTGTTAATATGCATGATTTAGATTATTTTACTAAAAAAATTCTATTAACAGATCCTTTATTTAACCCTTAAAATCAAAAAATGTTAAAGCAATTTTTTCTTTATAATTTTAGCCCTGAATGAAGTTTTTAAGCAATACTTTTAAAGCACTTAACTTTTACTTTTACTTAAAAAAAAAAACTTTTTCAAAACAAGATTTTACTTAAGAAAAAATTTAAATGCGTTTTTTACATTTAGTTTTACCCAGCCAGCATGTCCAATTGGGCCCTATTTGCGGCCCAAGTGGGCAGCTATATGGGGCCCATATGGGTTGCCCATATCCCGCCCAAGGAAAATTGTCGCTGGGCATGAATTGGGGCCCAAGTGGGCAACCCATATGGGCTGCCCACTTGGGCCCCAATTCACGCCCAGCGACAGAATCCTAGGTTTGATTTTTAATTGTTTTAAAGCAGTGAAAAAAAACAACAACTTAAGTGTTGCTTAAGTTTCAGATTTTCTAAGATTGATTAAAATTAATCTATAATTTTACCAGAATTTATTTTTTGCAATGTGATTTAGATTAATTATACAGAATGTATTCAAATTATATGAAAACTATTTAGAAACCAATTATAAAATTTCAACATTTTGAGGAACAGAAAAAATACGCTGCTATGCATTTACACTAGATTAGGCTAGATATATAGCCTAATCTAGTGTAAATGCATAGTGTAAATTAGGCTATAGCCTAATCTAGTGAAAATGGTATACAATTTGCATGTTAAAATAATTATAATTATTATTATAAATATTAATTTATATATAATTATTACAGCCAATATAATTATTATGAACACTAAGTAAAATACAACATTATAAACACCTCGAACAAAATTGGAAAATGCATATTATACAAGTTAAGCAATAATCGTTCTAAAAATGCATAAAATATTCGAGTTTAGTAGAACAAAAAATTGCAAAAATGTATATACCGTTGATCTAAATATCACAAATGTTGCATTATTAAAACCAGGAATTTGTTTATAACAAAAACAATAAATTAAATCAAGTATATAATGTAAATAAAAATGTTCTCAAACTTAACAAGAAACACCAGTTATAGAAATATTCAAAAAAAAAGAGATATGTACATCAAGTAATAAGAACATAGCAGGCAACAAATTTGCATTGATGCATGAATTTATATTATAATCACTTCCTGCTTTCAGGTTGTTTCTCCCTCTTGACGTAGCCTCGTTTTCTTTGTTCTTTTGGCTCTTTCCGCTCGTTTGCCACCCCGATCTCGCGCCCCAGTAAACTATTTGCCTATAGCTATCTCGATATCTTTCACAATTGCACTCGAAGTGAGCACGTTTTGGTGGACAGCACCTAAAAAAAGTTATATTTACTAAAACACTCACTATTTCCTTGATATAAATTTACAAAAGAGAAAAAATCTAGGTCATAGACTTTATAGTGATGCAATATTTTTATTTATTATTAAATAAAAAAAACTAACACAACAACACAAAATACTTGAAATAGCATCATTAATTAAATGTAGACTTATCTTATAAGATTACAGTACTACTATGATGCAAATATATTTTCACCTTTAATTTTCATAATTAAGAAATTATTTGGGCTCAAATAAGTTCTTATATATATATATATATATATATATATATATATATATATATATATATATATATATATATATATATATATATATATATATATATATATATATATATATATATATATGTATATATATATATATATATATATATATATATATATATATATATATATATATATATATATATATATATATATATATATATATATGTATATATACATTAATTAAACAAAATTGTTTGATTGCATTGTAGAGTTATATTTGTTAAAAGCATTTAATTGTACAAATTGTTTAACTAGATCTATTTTGGTAATAAAGTTCACAATTATTTCAAAAATACACAAATGGCACTTCTATCATAAAATTTGCTTAAATTATATAATGTAATTTAAATATAAACTGTTCTCTAACCAGAGCTTTAGAAATGTTGTAGTCTGTTTTGAGCTGATCGTTTAATAGCTGGAAGTCATGGAGTTCTTTTATAGGAATAATGCCACGGGAAAGTTGTGACGCTTGGCTTACCACAATTTGTTGTACAAGGTGGACAACGAGGAGTGATTTGTAATGATTGAACAGGTGTAGAACTTGAAGGATTATATTGAACATTAGAATTTATTCTTGGAGGTGGACTGGGAGGTTGCAGCATATTTGACTTTTTTCTAGGAGATTCTTCATTGTCAGTATCAGAATCTGAAAAAATTCGCTTTGAAGTAATGAAACGCCTTGAAGCAATGAAAATGTAAAAACATTATATATAGTTGAGAAATAGACCATCCAACGGAAAGCGGTTTTAGTATTTAATTTTGTTTTTTGTTTGGATAACTTTTATATCCATTTTTATACACTCATGTTGTTTGTATGGTTCTTTATAATGACATTTAAGTGCCATTATAAAAGAGTTAAAGCAATGTTTTACAACAGGATGACCTTCATGGCGTTAAAATGAAGCAGGTTGTACTGGATTACATGCTACTAATAGCAGGATAAACTTACTTTACGTAAGGATAACCTAACCTGACTATAACTGAATATTAATTTAATAAAATGATTAAAATATGAGTTACATATTTTATGTACAAATTAGTTACATTGCTTGAAAATTATCTATTAAATCGAAATTTAATTATGGATTGAATGTAATAATAAGGAAACAACTCAATGGAAAAACCACAAAAAAAAAATCAAACAAAAATGGGTTTTCTTACCCATGTTTATTCGTCTTTAAGGTTTGTTTGCGCACTGGAGCATCTTGGTCAGTTGTGCCAATGTCTGATTGACTCAAGGCTTTTGTTACCTTTTCTTCAGCCCTTTCATAAGTTGCTAAAATATACAGCCAAAAATTGATATTAATTCATGCTCAACTTTTTTTAAATTGCTTTGTATCATTTGTATCAAAAAAATTATTGTGTGAATACAAATTATGCCTACAAAAACGTTATATTGTACCTGCTCTTCCCAGAACTCTAACAAAAAACTTTGGCCAAGTTTCCAATGACTCACACTGATCACTAACAAGTTTTTTAATTGTATTTCTGCTTACTTTAGAAGGAAAGAAGCACTCTTCTTCCTCTTCTGAAACAAACCATGACACTGGAATAGTGGCTACACTATGATTACTTATAAACTCGACGATAGCAAACTTAAAAGACATGTTACTGCAAATAGAAATTAGGAAGTTAGGAAATGTTACTATATTTAAATAGTGTCATTTCCTATATTTGAAATATAGTAATATTTAATGGATATAAATATTAAATACTAGATTTATTATAATAAATATAAACATAATAAATAAATATTTAATAATATATGTTGTAATGATTTACATGGTTTAAATCCTATATCTGATTCCACAGTTAGAAAAATTAATACTATATTAGCAATGATATTACATTAAAATACATATTTTTTAACTAATTTATATAAATTATTAAGGATTATTATAAATTTTGAGGATTTATATAATATTACTCCACTTAATTGAATTAAGGACGTTCTAAAATGTAATAAATTTTACAAAGAACTTTGAAAGAATGAAAAAACGATGCTAAATTTTTCATATGCATTCAGCTATGTTAAAGAGCCATTAAACACAAACTTTTTGGTCTACAAAAATTATTTACCATAAGAATTATTAGTCATATTGACTAAATTTATTCTTGATGCAATAAAGGCATAAGAACAAAGTTATCACCAAAAGGCATAATAACAAACTTTTTTCCAATCTTTTCAGACAGTACAAACTTTAGATCTGTGGATAAATGAGCAGCTAAAAATATTTCCAAATGAGTAGAATCTAATGGATAAATAAAAAATGGTTCCAAATGAATGAATTCGTTGTAAATAATGAATGTATTATTTTTTGATGTTTGCAATATATTTCTGACAATTGAAAGCTTCCCTAGAATTTCAAAGCAATTGTTGCCAACTGTTGACGAAATAAAAATACGATCTGCTTTCAAATGTTTATATTGTTGAAAACTTTCTTGAGAAAAGTTTTGTGGTACAGGACCAGCGTAGTGTTCTTTTGAAGGCATATTTTGCTGAATAGTGCTAGTATTTTCTGTTTCCAATAAGATACAGTCTTTTTCATAATAGCGTCTCATTATTTGAGCAATTGGGTTCTGAGGCCTTCTCACCATTTTTTTTATTTGACCCAAAAAATTTTCAAAGGGAAATGATGATACTTTATCTAGTGCTCCAAAGTTTCTACAATCTTGTGGCAAATGAATGACAGAGTGTACATTATATATGAGCTGGTTTGAACCATATATAGTTTCAAAATCGCTAACAAACAGGAGCAACAATTTCTCTGCATAGTCACAGTACTGCAAACTGTTTGCAAATTCAGGTTGCAGTAAACATATCATTGCAACAGAAAATGTTAGAAAGTTACGGTACATATTGATGGGAATAGCATCACGAAGAACAACTGCTCCAGAATATAACATAAATTGACGCAACTCAGTTGCCTTCCATTGTTTGTATTCCAGAATTGATCGTCGTCGCCTGGCAAATTCACGAGGCATGTGGCTTCTCAACATAGTTAAGTTTGCAGATATATTCTGTATTATCCTTAATGGCAACCTATAATGCAAATCTCCTTTCGTTTAGAGACTAATAATTCTCCTAACTATGCCTAAACAAGTAAGGTGCATATAGTCAAGTGGAAATTTAGAAACTAAACCAATATTAAGTTCTAGCAAAGGTGACCGTACATTGGGTAAATGGTGGTCCTCATCTTTTTGCTTAACAAAGTCATTATCGGTTCTAAGAGAAGCACGCAAATTTGAATAGGTCATTTTATGGTCCAAGTAAGTGCCTTCCTCTTCACAACGCTCACATGCATTATAACCTCCATACCCCTTAATACACTTTAAATATGATCGTGCTGGTGCATCACAAATAATTGAAATTACCCCAATAAGATACACTTGATCTAAATATCTCACACCATTTTGAAATAAATGTTTCATTTCAATGATAAAATCATTTAAAAATGTATTGATACATAATGGCTTTGATGATCCAGCATATAAGCCAATAATAAAAACATCAACTTTTGGTAATTCAACAATACTGCCTAATATTGGCCATATATGCATACATGAGCTACGAAATAGTGGCAAACCGTCAATATTTATATTAAGAGACAATTTCTTTATTTCAAAATGAGTGACATTGATTTTTTTCCTTAAAGATGTGACTATTCCATTTTCAATACCGAAATGGTAATAGTGTCCGCCAGGATTCTGCTTAATCTGTGTACTTTTAGGTGTTTTTAACAGAGTTCTGGAATCTTTTGGTACTGATAATCCGGCTTGCCACAAAATATGAAGTAGTGATGTTACAGCTGCATGAGAAATGTTGAATGAAGTACCCCAGTCACGTAAGCTACTGTTAATGTCAAATTCACTATATTCGTATAAATTATTTTCACACTCACTTGCCTCACTATCCGAGTCAAAGGTTTCATTTGAGTCATTTTTGTAATCATGTGGAATGCAGCAGTCACCATTTATTTGAAAATCAGGTATAGTAATTATGCATATTATTTGGTCGAATGTCTCATTAATAGAATTCACAATTTCAGGCAAGTGCATTTCCATAGTAGGTAATGTTGATTGTTCTTGAAAATTGGCAGAATCAATACTATTAGTTGTGTCGCTGAGATTCAACATTAACGATTCAAATGCTCTTTTAGCTTTCCTTTGTATAGTTCGAATACTGAACGCCATTGTGATATCTTATAAAATAAAACATTATAGTTTTCTAATTTTGCCAAATCAATAACTTTCCAAAAATAAATACATAAAATGCTTAAATTTAATAAATTATTTTGATGCAGTTAGATAAAGTTTTTTTTATCTGTGGTCATTATGCAATCATCAACGTTCTATGTAAGATGATGCATATTACATACGCAGTAAAAACACTGATTTAAGACTGAAAATGAAATTAAAAAAGAAATCTATCAGCCCTGTATATACATATACAAAATTGCTGCATACGTATGCAGCAATTTTAAGACATTAGCAGGCTGGAACTAGTTATTTGCAATTAACTGTACACTAAATACTCATAGTGTGTGCACAAAAATACAATTTGTATAGCCAATGTCATAACAATTTTTAAACCAAAAACAAAATAAGTTAAATATAAATTTTATCTATCTTTATACTCTATCTATATTTATCATTTTTTATTTTAATGAACTCAAATACAAGCAACTTTAAAGTGAAGTTTAAATTTTGATATAAACAGCAACTGTCTTAAATATTACCAACAAAAAAGCATTAAAACAATACTACAGTACATGTACCATAGGTAAAATATAAAAAAGGATAAATAAAATTAACAAATAGCAAAAGCTTTAAAACAATAATCAAAAGGCAGTCTATGATCCATTGAATATTTACAGTCAGTTGATTATGGTACCCAGGGGATATCAAGATGGTTCAATTAGTCTGTCAGACTAATTGATCCATCTTAATATTTACCTTTATATAAAGATTAATACATCTATTATCGTTTAAAAAAAATAATTGCAAAACATAATGAAATATAAATAAATAGCTTATTTAAAATGCCAAAGGACAAAAATGAAAATTTAAAACATACAGAACTTTTCAGTTGTATTATAATTGTGTAGCAAAGTACCACATACCAATATTTATAAACTAGATTTTATAATAAAAATATTTTTTTTATAAATAATACTAGAAATAAGCAACTTACAGAAAAATTGCTCTAGCGCATGTACAAAATTTGCGGAAAAAGCTTACGAAACCGAGCGCTTTTGAAACTTTAAGGGCTGCCCATATGGGGCCCATTTAGGACCCTTTTAAAAAGCCCACGTAGGGCCTACTTGGGAAAGCCCATGTGGGGCCCAATATGACATGCTGGCTGGGTAGTAATACTAAAACTATAGTTACTAAAATATTAGTAACTGTGCCACCACCGAAACAACTAATCATTTTCTAAATTCTATTTTTACTAAAAAAGCTAAATTTTTTTCAAAAACCAGCAGTTTGTTTAAATCAAAAAAGAAAACTAGAATAAAAAATAAAAATTATTTAAAATAAACTTAAAAGTAAAACCTTTTTAAAATAAGATGCAGAAGGTTGTATATAATTTTACATCAATTACTTTTTACATTTAAAGTTTTAAGTTTACTTAAGTAATATATATAGATATTTACATATCTATATATATTATGTGTGTGTATATATATAAATATATGTGTGTGTGTGTGTGTGTGTGTGTGTGTGTGTATATATATGTGTGTATGTGTGTGTGTATATATATATGTGTATGTGTGTGTGTGTATATATATATATATAAATATATATATATATAAATATATATATATAAATATATATATATAAATATATATATATATATATATATATATATATATATATATATAAATATATATATATATATATACATATATTTATATATATATATATTTATATATATATATATATATATATTGTATATATAAAATATATATAAAATATATATATATATATATATATTTTAAACAAAATCAATTTTTTAAATCTAAACTCGCAAATAACTAATGTTTAAGTTACCTGCCAATGTTAGTTTATTTAAAATAACACTCAGGCTCACTGATTTTCATTCAGTTAAAAAAGGAAGTTTGATAAATTCAAGTAATTTAATGTTGATTTTTTAAAATATGAAACAAATTTTATACAATATTAAAAAAATTTAAACTGAATACTTAGTACTAAAAAAAATCATTATATGAATGCTATTGAAAAAATTATAAATGTGCAACTAATCTTAAATTTATTTAAAGATAATTCATTCATTGCAATGGCTTGTCACCAGCATGATAAAGCTATGAAAAAAAAATAATAAAAAGATTAAATGAAGGACAATTGGAAGAGAAAATGTTCTTACTTACATACAGAAGTTTAAAATAATAATTTTAGATCTCTAATTTTAATGAGCAGAGATATATAACCCTTGGAATCAGGAAAAATGAGGTCAGTTATTTATTACCGACCTCAAACTGTTAGAGGTCTGCAAAACAAATTTGAAAGAAAGGGGTTACCATAAATTATAGAAACAAGGATGGCAATTTTTGCTAGGGATGTACCGAAGCTTCGGCTTTGGCTTTGGCGTGCCAAAGCTTCGGCAATTTTGCCGAAGCTTCGGTTCGGCCGAAGCCAGGTCAATTTTTTGCCAAATCTTTGGCTTCGGCAAAAAATTTTAAGTAATTAAAGTTATAAGCTACTGTGGGACAAGTTATAAAAATAAGCTAATTGCCAGTGTCTAATAAAGTTATAAATTTAGGACTACAGAGTTAAAGTTGGAGTCTATACCATATACTTGGTATTATTTACTACCAAGTGTCTTGTTATGGAGGGGATAATAATAAATAAGTAAAAATGTTTTGAAAAAAATAATAAAATTAGGGAAGGTCCTCATACACTTTGAAAGCTTCCAAGTGTGATGAATGCTTTAGATGAACTGAAGCAGCATTTCTATGCAGAATAAAAACCTTATAATTTAAAACAAATTAAAAATGTTTAAAACCTTAATTTGTATTATGTAACGAATTCATATTAATTATTGTGTGGGATTACCGCAAATAAAACAAAATTTGGTTTCAACATTTGACTGATAAACCTTAGTAATCTCTCTTTAAAGAAGATTAAAGATACGTTGCTACTATTTTAAATTGTGTGTATGTTTAATTTTTTAAAATTTTATTTAACCATATTAATAAAAATTTACAAATTTTCATCGTAAATTTACAGAAATTGGTTAGGTGTCACTTATACAGATACAAAATAGTCAATGGAGTGACACATAAAAAACAAAAAGTTCTCAACAACAAAAAAGGAAGAAAAGCAAATGAAATATAAACGAGGAGAATAAAAAAAGAAAAAAAAAGCCAACAAAAACTAGATAAATTAAAAGAAAAAGAAAAACAATAGAGCAAGGATAGTTATTAATGATAATAACTATCCTTGCTCTTTTATTAATATTATGAATACTTCTAAATTGAATTTATATATTAAACATGTAAACCAATATTCTGGTTTCTTCTTATGATATTATGAAGACTTTTAAATTTTATTTAAAATAAATTAAAGGTTGAAGCTTTGATTACTTTGAGCTCTTATATTTATCATCAAAATTTATTTAAATTAAATAAACAATTTAAATCAAATAAATATCAGCCTGCTCAGTCCCTGTTTATTTATAAATATAAAGTAAATAATAATATAATCATAAATAAAAAATTTATAAAGTATTCTATTTATTATTTTATTTAAAGCTCACTCTACAGAGTTGTTAGATTACTATGGAAGCTTTTATCACAGATAGTTAATATTTGATTTCAGATACTGATGCAGATTTATCCATTATAGAGACAGAAGAAGAATGAATACTAAGATTTCAAAGTGTAAAAGATTAAAAAAAGCTATAGAAAATGTTATGTAGTGTAAAGTTAAAAATAATCAAAAAAAAATACTTAAAAGTGTGTAAAAAAGAAGTTAGAGAGAAATCTATCATTTGTACTTTTTTTTAGCAGCAGGTTCACAACAGTTGTAGTGGAATCCAAAATGGTCTTAACTTGGGTTTTTTTCAGTTTAGAAATTGTTCGTTTAAGGAATACAGAGAAGTAAAAAAAAGATATTGAAATAGCAATAAAAAGATAAAGTGTGTTTCTAAGATTTTTTATGTTGTAGATACAACTAGATCAGCTAAGAGTGTTTATTTAAAGAAAGAGTGATCAAGTGCAAAAGATAAATTTACTCTAGTAATGTTCAGAGATTTTTATCCATTTCTATTAACAAAAGGTGCATTAAAAATAAAAATAAAATATACAGCACATGAAAAAATTCTATATAACATTAATATGGTTTGCACACAGAAAAAGTAGAACTAGAAGTAGGAAAATTTGGGGAGAATGTTTCAAAAAAGCTTAAGTTTAAAAAAAAAACGCTCGGTGCGGTCAAGAATCAGAAACGACATAATGAGAAATATTTAAACAGGGGCGCTGAGAGCTTTTGCCCTGCCTGGAACAGCAACCCTGACTGGCGTCCTCACTTTTATACGATTTTTCTATATTATTAGTCAAGGACCATAGTTTTGGTACCTTTTTTGTTTTATACCCCTGCTGATCTGAATGCTGATTAAATTTTAAGCATATATAGTGCCGAAGCTTCGGCTTTGGCAAAATTTCAGCTTTGGTACATCCCTAATTTTTGCCAACCTTAAATACTTTAAAGTCAGCAGTTAGGTTGGCATTGCCATATGTCGATCCTAATTTTGAAGGTTGAATATAAATTTTTTTTTTAATCTTATTTGAAAAACTGTTAAAATTAGTTATTAATAAGCTTATTAACATTTGTGCGCAGATTTTTTACTATTTAAAATTGATACTTAATACTAATAATAAAGTTGATACTTAATACTAATAATAAAGTTGATACTTAATACTAATAATAAAGTTGATACTTAATACTAATAATAAAGTTGATACTTAATACTAATAATAATGTTGATACTTAATACTAATAATAAAGTTGATGCTTAATACTAATAATAAAGTTGATGCTTAATACTAATAATAAAGTTGATACTTAATACTAATAATAAAGTTGATACTTAATACTAATAAGATAATAGAATTAAAAGAAGTTTTGTTGAACTTGAGTAATAAACTTTTTTATCTTTTTAATCTTTTCTCAAACTTTTATATTTTGTTTTTATAAATTTGTAGAGTTTCTCAAAAACAGTTAGTTTCAGAAAACAACTGTTTTCTGTTTTAAATTAAAAAAAAACCTTGCTATTAATAGCTGTTTTCTGTTTTTAATGGAGTTTACAACAAAACAGTCTGATTTCTAGCGTTATTTTTTATTATATTAAAGTTTGAGGAACACAAGTGAATTTAAAGAATCAGAAGAATCAGAAGTTTCATCATCTCCTCGAAAACTGAAAATTCTTTTTGCCAATTTTCTAGTAAAGAGCAAACTGTTTCTTGACGGAATATTCATAAAATCTTCTTTTATTTGTAGGATCTTCATTGCCATCTCATGGAAGTTGATATCCTTATTTTTGTGAATAAACTGATGGAAGTTGATATCCTTATTTTTGTGAATAAACTGATTTCTGGCGATAGCTTTAATTAATTATATGTCTGTGGCCATGTCAAAAACTATTTTATTTAAAGTCTTACGCTGAACAAAATCAAGCATGATTTTAGGTTTCTTTTTTGCTGCAAATTGTTCAGGAGGAATTTTTTCAGTTTGAGACCAATCAATTCTATGCTTCGATTTAAGTGAGCCTTTAAGCTCATGGTAGAGCACTTAATAACATAATTGTAGTAATTGAAAACTCCTTCTATTCACAGGGTTTCTTTGTTTTGTTGCGAACTCCTAAACAGATGACAGCTCTGTTGATTTAAGGTTTACATTATAAATACATATAATATATGTTCTTCAGAAAATTTATTATATGATAATAATATATAATTATATAATTTAATAATATTCTTTAGAATAATATCTACTTTCTAGAGAAAGTAGTGAAATCACAAATTCTATTAGTTAAGCCAATAATACCAACAGCCCAACCTTATTGTTATATTTTGTATTCTTTTTTATTTTGTATCCTTATTTCTCAATTATAGGAAAGAAAATCAGAAAATTTAGGTTTTCATTTAACTATCATTTCTATATTATATTAAACTATTACAAATTATGTTAAAACTATGTGTAGTTTAAGGTTTCAAAAAATCTCTTATATATATAGTTCACAATATTGTAAATTAATAAAATGAATAAATTATTTAAAACTATTTTTTAGGTTGGTTTTACAAATGTTCAACCAAGAAAATTTTGCATTCAGCCTCCAACATTGCAGACATGTTTCCAAACATACCAAATTTCAGCTTGTAAACTATGTCAGGTTTGCGTCCAAATATTATTAAAATGAAGTTATCTAATACGCTAACAACATATATTCTAGATAACAACAATTTCTAGATAAATATTTATACCTTTTCTAATCATCTGTTTTTCGTTTTATTCAGGGATGTGGAGTTAAAAGATTTTTCTTTGATACTTCTTTTACAACTTAAATTAAATACAAACTCACAAAGGAGCAAATAGATCAAATAGATGCAAGAGCCACGTGTTATAAACGCTTTGCTAAGTAGATAAGTAAATTGGTTAGGTGGCTCCTAAAATAATGTTTTTGAAAAATAATATAATAATAATACAAAAAAAACTTTTATGTTGTTTTCAGTATCCCTCTTAGCTATTGGTTATTTTATCTTTCTGAAACTCCCTATTATCAAATTTGAACTTTTTCTTTTAAATTAAGATTTTTTTCTTCATCAAACCGCTATTTACCCCTGTTAAATTATTTTATGCCTTGCACATAAATTTACTTTCACTTTTCACAAAGATTTGAATTTTACAAGAATCAAGAAGAAGTCTTTTGCTCTAGACATGCTAACACACTAAAGCTCATTTGTCGTTCTAATAATAAAAAAATGTTTATAATCTAACATTCAAGGGATGAGTGCTTATGCCAGGTTGCAGAAAAAAAAAGGGGGGAGGATTCTAATTTTTGTTTTCATGATTCTTTTATTTTATAATATGTTTAAAGCAGTCGCTAGAATGTTTTTTTTTATTTATAAACTAATTCGGAGACAACAAGACTGCAAGCAGCCACTATTAAGTTGATAGTTATTTCAAAATAAAGAAAAGAGAATGAGATGCAACCTTACAACAATGGGATAGCTCACACTTGACAGAGTAAGTTCAACTACATTTACAATCCAATTTGGACCTTGTCTAGAGGAGAAATAGCATCATTAGATGAACCAGCTCAAATTTGACAACAGTATTCTATAGAGGGGGAAATAAAAGATTTATAGAGATAGAGAATGGAATTAGGAGTACACAAATAGCAAGCATGATAAAGAGAAGCACTCTTAGCAGATTCTAACTTTGCTATTGATTGTATAAATGGTTTCCATGAGAGATCACTATTGAAAGATAATCCAAAAAGGCGTAACGTAGAGAACTCAGTGAGAGGAGTGGCATTCATTAATATTTGTGTTTACAGTAAATAACGTTGTTGGAGTTAAAGTTCATAAGCCACTGCAAGCCCCAAGCTGTTACAGGAAAGAGATCAGATTTAAGATTGGCTGCCTGTTCTAAACAATCAAAAGTTTTTTGTCAAGGCAGGAGTTCAAAGTTGAGTAGCCAGCAAACACTTTAGATGTAAGATTGATAGGAAGATCATTAATGTAGGTAAAACACAATACAGAACGAAAGATAGAACATTTTAAACTAATATGCAAATGGGTTTCTTGCTTAAATCTGATATTTTACAAAATATTTTGTTTTTTTGAAATTACTGGAAATAAAGAATAATAAAAGAAGACTGTTCTGATAATTGTTGGTTAGAGTGTTTTCTAGAATTTTTCAAAATTGGAGCCAATGAGGCAGGAAAACAAGATAAATAGTTTAGAAAGAATTAAAGCGTGTTCTTGAGAATGCTTTTGTAAGACTAAGACAGGAATGTGGAATCAGGAGCACAAGCCCTACCAAAGTTAAATTAAGAAATTACTTTAGTATCAAAAGCCAGAATGATTCTGAAGTCTAACAATGGGTTAAGCTGTTTAACTGGAATGAAAAGAAGAGTATGGTTATTAGATTTAAGAATCAAATCGAAGAAAAATGTCTTTGCAAATCATTTAGATTTATCCTTGGGAGAGTTAATAAGATCAGATCCATTAATGAGATGTTCGATTTTTTTATTAACACTAGCCTAACTTCTGAGACAAGATTTAATAAACTGGGAATAATGGAGCTTAGCATTAGACAGCACGTTTTTAAATTAATTGTTTTCTTCAGAGTGTTGTTCTTTTAAAAAAGATAAAAAAAAAATATTACAATTATATATAACAGCTGCACGGAAAGTTGAAAAATTTTTTACATTTTTTGACAAAGAGTAATAAAAGCTTCCATACCAGCAGCCCATTGGCGGTCAAAAAAAAATGGGTAGAAAAATGGGTGAGCTAACACTGCGCCAGAGATTTATAGAGAACACAAACATACATAAATTATGGGTTAGCTAACATAGTAACTAATACACTTTTAACTATATAGCAGATAAAAACGGATACCACTCTACATGAAATGACAAATATAAGATAAATTGATAACATAAGATAACAATAAAATAATGACAGATGTTAGAAGTGATAACAGGAAGTTAACTTCTTTTAACTTTTGTCTAGGTAAGCTAATACTACAAGGCAGCAGGACATGCAGCAGGTAGTACAGGATTACATGTTACCTGTAGCAGGGTGATCATGGTGGTTATAGGCCTGAATTGACACATGAATTGTAAATAAAAAAGGTAAAAGAATGCTAATATAAAATTTAATTTTAGTTTTTTGTTTACATTGATTTTGCAATATCTGATTTTTATTAAGTAATTTTAAAAGTTTTTTGTATCATTGAAGTTAGACAGGCCTGCAACTATTCCTCTTTAATATGTTTATGTAGAAGTTAGTTCTGTTTATGTAGAAGTTAATAATATTTTTATCTGAAATTTTGAAATTATATTTTCACAATTAGGCATTTACAATTTTTTAAATAATTTTAATAAGTTTTTAAATAATTTTTAAATAAGTTTCTTGAATGGATGCTAAAATAAATGCTATACTAATAATAAAGATGTTTTTTTAAAAAACAAAAATTCTGCAATAAAAATTTATTCTCCATTATTTAAAAAAATAATTTTTTGACTATTTTTTATCCTTTAAAATTATTCATGGAGTTTTTCTAAATCATGGAAAAGCTTTGACTTTTTTCTAACTTAAAAAATAGGAACTCTGTGAAATCATCTGAATCCCCACATCCCTGAATTTTCTTTTGTATCTTTTCTTTATTTAATAACTATTTAGTATTTTTCTTTATTATAACTTAATTTTGTTATTGCTTTCTACTAATACAAAGAATTTAGCTCAACATATTACAATGTTACAACATATTACAATGTTACAACATATTACAATGTTACAACATATTACAATGTTACAACATATTACAATGTTACAACATATTACAATGTTACAACATATTACAATGTTACAACATATTACAATGTTACAACATATTACAATGTTACAACATATTACAATGTTACAACATATTACAATGTTACAACATATTACAATGTTACAACATATTACAATGTTACAACATATTACAATGTTACAACATATTACAATGTTACAACATATTACAATGTTACAACATATTACAATGTTACAACATATTACATTAGTTACAATGCTTTAATTTTTTAATAATATATTTTTGTTCTTGTTTTAAAGAATATTATCAAATCCGTTGAAATAAATGAGTCAAACCTTGGCCAAACAGTTGATTTATTCAAATTTATTGAAAAGCATAAAGGGTATGTTAGTTAAGTTGTTTTATATAAATATATACAAAAATAAATACTCATACATAATATATAGATTTTTAAAATAGGGTGGCCATAAAAACAACTTTTCTAAAAAGATCTGCTCTCTGGATCCAAAAAATATTTTTAAGGGTTGGCAAAGACCCTTAAACATCAGACTGGTCCCAAATATTATAAAAAAAAATTTCTTAAAATTTTTTTCATGTTGGGTCTCAAAAGAAGCAAAATTATAAAAGTTTTCAAGAAAAAAGTTGTTTTAAAAAACCCTAAAAGAATTATTATTTTCATTAATGTTAAATGGCAAAGTTTTTATGCATTAAAATCCAAATTAATAATTTCTATACAGAATAACTAAATAATTTCTTTAAAATAAATAAATTATTTTAAAATTTTTTATACAATTTTCCTTCTTTTTAGACCCAATATGATATACTTTTAAATAAATGTTTTTTTTTATAATATTAGGGACCTGTCTGATGTTTGAGGGTCTTAAGAGACTCCTAAAAAAATTTCTTTTTCAAAAATGTTTAAAATCCAGTATTAATTTATTATATATTTAATAAAAAACTTCCTAAATAAAAACTAAAAAGTTTTATCTTCTAAACAAAAGTATAGATAATTTTTATTTTTTTACATATTTTATTTAAGGATTTAGAGATAATGTAATTGAACTAAATTTGCAAAAAAAAAAAAGAAAAAAAAAAAAATTGACAATGCTTTTTTAAATTTTTTTTTGTAAATATCGAAAGTGTTGAGTTAAGCAAAAATGTTTTTGTAAAATGTAAACGTCGAAAGCATTTCAGTTAATGTATAAAACGTCAAAAGCATTTTAGTTAATGTGTAAAATGTCAAAAGCATTTCAGTTAATGTATAAAACATCAAAAACATTTCAGTTAATGTATAAAAAGTCAAAAGCATTTTAGTTAATGGAAAATGTTTTTGTTGCAATATTAAAGTTGTTTTTTAACTTCGTTTATGTGATGTTTATTCAGAAAATGTAAGGTCCTAAAAAAAAGCATATTACTCCTGCAGAGTTTTTTTAAAGAAACAAAATGTTTTATAAGAAAGTTTTTTAATTTTCAAAAGTATTAAGGTAGCAGATCCTCATAAAAATCAAAATTTTAATGATGAACTTAACAGAAATTAGTAGTGTAAAAACGGCTTGTTGAAAACTAATTTAGTTTTTTTTAAATAATCATAATTTGATGCGCTATAGTTTTTCAAACTTCCCTAGCAACCACCATAGCAACGAATTTGTTTATTGGTTTTTTAGCTATATTGTCAAGTTTTTGGAGAAAACCTAGCTCTAAAAATATCCCGTTCGCTTTATATTTTACCAGTGCTCAAAAAAATTTAAGATAAGTTTCACAGCTTAAAGTTTACTAGTAATACCACATCTTTTGGTTATATTTACTTACTTGCTCAAAAACTGTTTTCATTAGAAATTTGTTTGCATTTTTTAAATAAAAAATAACTTGTTGCACAATTAGATAACATAATTATTAATTCAAAAGCAGTAATTACACATTCAAAAAAAGAAAAAAAAATTACAGCCTCATTACCAATTGCAAGTTTTTCAAAAGTTAAGAAGTTTTTTTTAATAATGAATTTAAGACAAAAAAGATTTTCACAACAGGTATCAACTAAAAAATTTCTCCTGCTGATACCTTATACTAACTAAAGTTAGTAAAAGTTATGAAAAAAAGGTTTGTTGACAAAAGATATAAAGACGAGGCCTCATATTTTGCTAGTGACTTTTAGAGTTAGAAAATAAATATCCGTTTTTCACATATGTGGTAGAAACCCCAGTTAATAGTACTCTAAATATACACTGAAAATTTGGAGTTACTAGCATTTGTGAAACTGAAAATTTTTCAAAATGGCAGCTTAAATGTGTAACTAGTCCTTAATTACCTTCTTTTTTTTAATTTTATAAATAAAAAAAAATTTAGATAAAATTAAAAAAAAATTTAATTACAATTAATGTTCCATGACAAAAATTAAGGCAACTTAATATTAAGGGGATCTGCTACCTTGATCTGCTACCTTGATCTGCTACCTTGATCTGCTACCTTGATCTGCTAACTTGAAGTTAAATATGATTTTTAAGATTTAAACTGGAAGGGAAGGGAACTCCAGGGAAGGGAGTCCAAAATGTGGTGCAGTGATTTGAGTTCTTTCTCAAAATTAAGAGGTCTGAGGTTCGATGTTGATTCTGATCATGTAAGCGACATAGGTAATGAAGGAGGTGTAAACTTCCTAGTTAAATTGCTGTTTCACGGTGCTTTGTGATAGGATACTTAGTTCTTCTTGAAGCACCTTAACAGCAAAAAAAAAAGGATCATTGTAGGTGATTGTAAATGTAGGTGTTGTGAGGACTTTTCAAATTAAGTAGAAACTTTAAATTATTAGATTATTCTTCTGCAGACATAAGACATCGTTTTTTTTTTTTGTATTTTTATCAACAGTTATGATTTTAAAAAAGTGGATTTTTGCTGCTATGATCTACTATTTTTTTGCTGCAATGATCTACTATTTCTTGATTACTAGTAAAATAAACATCCCATCATGGCCTACTTTATACACGGCCGGATATGTTGCATAAATAGGCCGAAAATTAGAAGGCCAGTTTTTAGCATTTCGGTTATTTTTCATACTGCCAGTTAATATTGTTTAAATTTTATTTTGGGAGATATCGATTAAGTTGGAAATTTAGTTTGGGATATAATGGTGAACAAATGTGCTGTTTTTAATTGTCGATCTGGCTATAAATCTAAAAAAAATGAATCTAGTTTTCTTAGTGCAAGTAAAGCTGTTTTTAGTTTTCCTAAAGATACTGTTTTAGAAGAAAAATGGACGAAGTTTGTTAACAGAAAAGATTAGAAGCCTAGCAAACATTCAGTTATATTCTTGGACCATTTTGAAAAAAACTATTTAAAATATGGAAAATGAGTTACTTTAAAATATGAGGTAAACCCTGTTCCAACCATTTATTCTGATGAAATTTCTATTCCATCTTCTATAATACCTAAATTTCCTACTTTTCGTAAACCTCCAACTGACCGACATTCTACCATCCCAGATGAAATTCATACATTTCAAGAAATGGATAAAATATAAAACATTGATATGCTTCATGAATCTAACTCTCCAAATGGATTTAGTTTTCAAAGATATGAAAGTTTTGTTTTATATTATTATTTATTTTTTGTAGACACAACTCCATCTATTGAATCAATACGCATCGGTAACAATTTGCACGTAAAGTTACATTACAAAAGTTCTCCACTTCAGGCCTTGCGATAAAGCGTCGGGCGATGTGAATTTTACGTCGTCCAAGAGCGATTTTGCGTGTAGCTAGGGCTATTTGCGTCGAGCAAAAAAATTTTTGTTTGAGTATATTTAAAGATATTTTTGAGCGGAATTTTAATGAAGTAATTTACGATTATTTTAACATTTAATAAAGTATTTTAAAAACCGCACGCAGTTGAAATAAAGGTTTGAATTAAAAAAAATAATTATTTTACGGGGGTTTGTTAGGTTTAAAAAAAAAAGATTTAAAAATATTTATTAACTGTTAGACGTATTTAAAGTATTTAAGAGTAATTTCGAGGAAACATTTTAAAAATTGGTGAGCGCAAATAAAAAAAAAAAAAGGATTAATATTAAAACGTATTCTACTTGATTCAATAAAAAAGTACAGTTATTAAATATTTGGAAAAAATAACTCAAAAAAATTACTTAATAACAATCGCTTTTATGTTAAAAGTTACCGAAACTCAACGAAGCGTGCTCAAGAACAGCTGCTGAAAAATAAAACGTCAATAGTTTTTCGAATAATTTTTAATAATAATTTTTAAGAATAATTTTTTCGCTGAAATATTTCTTTTATACCTATAAGATTTTTATTCTAACATTTTATTTTATTTTACTAGAAATAAAATTCCTTCAAAACGTGACAAACGTCGAGAAAATAAACAAATGTTTTTACATTTTAAAAAACGAAACATTCCAAAACATTTTTAAATAATAACATTTCTACATAAACGATTTAAAGTAGTTTTGCGGTAGTTAAGTAAATTGGTGCAGTTAATGTCGATAAATATGAAAAGCAAATAAAAAGAATTTAATGGCGTCAAAAATCACGTCGTGCTTATGCGTCGCGCAGTTCTTATTCATCGCAAGGCATGCCACTTCCACTCCCTAAATGGTTTAGAACAATTAACAATTGTAAGCTTACAAGTTTATCGATTTTAAATATTTTGGTGTCTTATATGCACAACCTTGTTGAAGAAAATTCGTATGGTTTAGTTAATGAACTATCAAATTTAATTTTTTACAAGTCATCCTCCATATTCTTCACAAGTATTACGTTTTGCACTTATGCAAAGATATTCATCATTTCAGGCTTATTCCCTTCTTTTGAAACAACTCCCATTGCCATCAAGGTCACTACTAAAGAAGTTAGTTTCTGGTGGAATCGATTCAATAAAATCATTAAAACTGTTATTAAATGAAGGAAAAATAAGCAATGATTGTGTTCTCCTTTTTGATGAATTGTATTTACAACAATCTTGTGAATACCACAGTGGTAGATTAATTGGTCAAGATAGTGAGGGTAATCTTTACAAAGGATTAATTGTGTTCATGATTGTTGGTCTTAAAAAATCAATACCATATGTTATTAAAGCTATCCCAGAAATTAGTTTTACTGGAGATTTTATTAAAGATGAAATAGAAGAGAGTTTAAATACATTAAGATCTGCTGGTTTAACATTCGTGCATTGATTGCTGATAACCATCCAACTAATGTGTCAACTTATTCAAAATTACTCAGCGTTTATGGTTCAGAGAAGCCAGAAGAAAATTTTTGTATCACTTTTAATGGCCATATAATTTATTTGATGTATGATAGTGTACATTTTTTTTTTTTTTTTTTTTTTTTCAACAACTTCACTTCCAACAAGGCTGCAAGCAACCACTATAAGAGT